CAGTTTGTTGGAGGGAATAAAGCTAGTTTGCTATCCTGTTTCAGGATGGAGAGGCTCCAGGAGGACCCAAGTCAAGCCATGGCGACTGGGACAGAAGCGATGAGGTTTCCCTAGTTCCAGCTGGGAAGCGATCCTTGGTGGATGTACACAGCTTCAAAAAGTATACCCATTTCCTCTGGCACTAAGCAGCGCACCATCCTGGTGTTACAGTACCGGAGGACTTCTTGTCCAATTATTACAATGTTACAGGAAAACTAATTAATAATCTGTATGATAACACCAATGTATGTACTAATATTTACCTCTAAGAGAATTGAAGTAGGGCATCAAACATTTTGTCTCAAAATGATTAATTTAATTGAAATTGATATTTTGCCAGAGGGGCTGGAAATTCCTAAATTGTGATTTTTGTTTATAATGGGGCATTCTTTTAGGATTTCGCAATTTGACCGCTTTTTTATTTTTTGTTAATCCATCTTAATAAGTGTCCTTTTTACATGATGTTTTGCAGCACTGGCCTCAGAGCAATGTTAATATGAATCATAATTTACAACATTGATCCATAACTGACAAGAACCAGGAAATATAATCTCTAGTGTATTGGGAATCTTTTTCTGATATTGCATCTTCTTTTATCTTGTTAACATATGATCTCACTTCTGTATAAGTGAGATGAAATCCAGCTATCCATGTGTTTTACTTTTTTTTACTTCTTAGTTTAGTTTTTTCTGGTCAAATGAGGCCACGCCTGAGCAGGAGATCCTACTTGCTAAGAAGGAAGATCTTTAGACATAGTTCAAAGGTAGACTTATAGTATTATTTTATAATTAAACACCTTTTCAGATCATGCTGTTATCTCGCAAATCAGATTGCATCTACTAATCCGGCATAAACAGCACTATATCAATTCCTTTTAGTCCCTTATAAACAGATTAAATGTAGCTTCTAACTTTTCATAAATGTTTCGAGATATACAGTTATATTATATTATAGGATTGTCAGTCGCATTTTTGGTGTACACATAGTGACTTTACTGAATTATGCATCATGTGTTTCAGCAACTACCATAGCAGAACTAACTTTGTGTCACTCAGACCACCACCTAAATTAATTGTACACAAACAAGCAATTCACTATATGCTTTAAAACACAGACACACCCTTTATGGAAGAAAGTGTTCCCTTATAGACACTCAGAGTAAAGTTTCTACACTTCCTGAACCTATTTTAAAGGGAGACATGCTTGAATATACATCTATCTAGTGAGTTGTCTACCACCCTCACCCTGATATTTATATTGAACATACTGCACCATATATATTTTTATTTATTTTGCAAAATATTTTGTGATTATTTATCAGGTTGTATATTACTTTTATTATTTATTTTATTTGGTGTTTTGGTGATTTTTTTTTTGGGCAGACTAGATGGGCCGCATGGTTCTTATCTGCCGTCACATTCTATGTTTCTAAGTCTAATTACTTGATAACAGGTAAGTAAAACACCCTAAAGCAGTGGTTCCCAAATCAGTCCTCGTGGCCCACCAACAATCCAGGATTTATGTATTTCCCTGTTTTATTCCAAAATAACAAGGAAATCTGACAAAATCTGGACTGTTGGTGGATCTTGAGGATGGGTGTGGGAAACCCTGCTCTGATGGATAAGTAACAATACTCACAAAAATGTTATACTCCAGGCACCATAAACACATCAATTGAATTAATTGTTTATTTAAGGACCAGATTTACCAAGGATTTATTTATATACTTAAGTATTATTAGTAATATTATTCTATATTTTCTACACCTCTGGCTAGTTTTAAGTTTACAGTAGTTTACTATATAGACATACAGACTTACTATGAATTATTCTTAAGACTGTAAGGAATCATGTTCCCCTTTTCATACTGAATGCCTCAGGTTTATTTTGTCATCAAAGAGCTGGAGATTTCGTTTGCCCATTGCACAGTGCGTCACCTTAATAAAGTACTCTCACTTTGGTAGCACGTCAAAGACGCTTCAGGTATCAATACTTTACCAGGTCCACTGTGTTGGCAAACAGAATTGCTCTCTACTTCTTTGCTTCTCTGGAGTTTAAAGCACACATCATTAATAAATGGAAGGATAAACGAATTTCTAAAATTAGAACTTTAAACGCATTATATGCGATGCTATTTTGGCAAAGTCTGGCATCCAATGCAAATTTCATGTGCTTGTGATTTTCTGAAAGCAGTTGGGGAAGATACATGTGTTTCCTCAGAATCATGGGAAACCACTTTGTATTGGATTCATGGCCTTTTCCTTTCTATATTCCCTCACAGATGATGTATAGTATTACCACTGAATAGTTGTCATTTTATTATATGTGCCATGGGTATTGGGGGATGAAGGGGTGCAACTGAACTGTTTTTCTTGTTTAATCATGTGTTATCTTGCTTTTCTCTTTATCACCTTGTTCCTTGTCCTATTGAGTGTGTTTTAGTCAATGTAACATATGGAATAGAGCCCCCTCCAGCTAGTCCTGACCCAAATATATATAAATATCTGAAGGTTTCTTCAAACCATTTACGCCTTGTCTCATATTTGACACTGTATTGTTCATTTGTAAACCTTTACTGAAACGTAATAAAAATAATAAAAAGGTGGTCTTATTCCAGTTATTCAGTAGACGTGTTCACTGAAAATGTGTTCCATCCATTCTTTAAACACTAAAACAGGTTGAATAAAAAATTAGAACCTCCATAAGTTGCAAAACTATACCTGCCATTGTAAAGGCTGGCAAAGCATCATGGATGCTGTAGGTGATTTCCATACATTGAGAATGAATAATATAGCCATAATCATACTTCATTAAGGAGTGGGTGGTTTAGCTTGAGTTCGCTTTATGCCAAACACACCACTTTGAGGTTTGCTCAGGAAGCTTTATATACATTTGTACTTTCTGATAAACCCAAGACACATTTTCATTGGCTCTTATTACGTTAGTTTTATTTCTTGCCATTAGTTTATTATGGCTGATTGGTGTATTAAAAAACATAAGTCTATCATTTTATAGATTTGTATTGCTTTGTTTATAAAATCTTACTCTTTTCATTTTACTTCAGGTCCTTTGCCATTATTCCAATACTTTTCCAATATATGTGGATAAGGTAAGGACTCCCCTTCATTCTCAGTCCAAAGCAAATGGTAAAATAAAATCACAAATATTTCATCCACTCTCCAAAGTATTAGGATTTGAAGTTATTTATCTCAGAGGACTGATTGCATTTTGTTCATCTGGATTATCTTGCTGAGTTCCACAATATTTGTTTTATATTTATTTATCTGATAATTTTCTACCAAATTTCTACCCTGAAGATGTGGCAGCTCCTTTAATGGCTCACAGATGGAGACTGGTGGCTAGGTGATTGTGTCCAAGTTGGATCAATGTATTTCAACTGTGTAAACTGGAGACTTCAATTAAACAGAGGCTGAATACTTAGGCACACATTATATTTCAGTGTTTAACATTTTACGTTTTCCATCTCTCTCTCTTTCTCTGTATCTATTTATCTCATTGCTAGGAGATGCTAACGGACAAAAAAATAACTAAAATATATATATATATATATATATATATATATATATATATATATATTTGTATGTTGTTATTGTGTAGTTTTACAGAATAGGTTCTCGCTTTAAAAAAAAAAAAAAAAAAGTGAAAATAGTGGGTCCTTTCAAACTGCTCTGTTTTTGCTGAATTCTTCTCTTATAGAACGGATTCCCCTTCAGCTTGATTACATACCTCATTGAAACCTTTCCAGCTGTTTTCATTTATGGAGGAATTCTAATGGAAACCAGTTTCAGTATATAATTACCTGCTGGCAATTGTAAATAATATTTTTTTTGTTTAACTCAGGTGAACTCCGAAAACTTTATTCATATATAGAAATCTTAGCAGATAGAGACTACATCCCCATTACTGGTTAATGTCCCAATCAGACTTTTCCTTCCAAGAAAGTCTATATTTAGTCATGGTATTCACATGTGCACCTCCATCAGTTACATATGATCTTATCAGTGATATAAAAGGATTAATATGATTAGATATGGTTTTAATTTTATATTTTATAAATGGCAATTTTGTGATGGCTTCATCAGTTCCAGGTCAATTAACATGGTCGTTTACATAGTATTGATTGAATCCAACTTTTAACTTTAAACTAACCATGTTGCTATTTCCAGATGTCCCATTGCCTCCTGTCTCAAACCCCCATAGAGCATCTTATTACACACTGTGAATTTATACAACTCATCACTGAGGAATAGATTAGTGCTGAATACATAAACCAATTATAATATCTGGAATCAGAATTTTATACAGTAGCAATACTCCATGCATTGCAATATATGGCTTCTTAATAACTAATGCTGCAGACTCTGTTGTCACTTTATGAAATATATAATTAGGCATAACAGTCAAGACCGCTAATAGTGGCACACTTTAACAATTGGCAGGGTTAAACACGTGCTCACACTGCCAAAAATGAGTTACTGGTAAAATAAGCTCATTTTATGAACATTTGAGATGTTTTATTTTATTTGTGTAATTTTCTTAGGTGTCCCCAGAATAAACATGACACAGATATACTAACTAAAGCCATGACTTGATAATACTGATATACTATGATGTTGTAATGATGCAATGCAAGGATACTGTGGTGCTGTGGTGATACAATGTATGGATACAATGATGTGATGAGGCTAAATAAGAGATGTCTTGATGTGATTATATTAAAACAGGGATACTATGACATTCTGATGATGCTATAGCAGGGATACCATGACATTAACATTATGCTGTAGCTGGAATACCATGACAGTCTGATGATGCTGTAGCATGGATACCATGACATTCTGATGAGGCTGTAGCTGGGACACCATTACATTCTGATGATGCTGTAGCTGGGATACCATGACATTCACACTATGCTGTAGCTGGGATACCATGACATTCACATTATGCTGTAGCTGGGATACCATGACATTCTGATGATGCTGTAGCTGAGATACCATGACATTCTGATGATGCTGTAGCTGGGATACCATGACATTCTGATGATGCTATAGCAGGGATAACATGACATTCATATGATGCTGTAGCTAGGATACCATGACATTCTGATGATGCTGTAGCTGGGATACCATGACATGCTGATGATGCTGTAGCTGGGATACCATGACATTCTGACGATGCTGTAGCTGGGATACCATGACATTCTGATGATGCTGTAGCTGGGATACCATGACATTCTGACGATGCTGTAGCTGGGATACCATGACATTCTGATGATGCTGTAGCATGGATACCATGACATTCTGTCGATGCTGTAGCTGGGATACCATGACATTCTGATGATGCTGTAGCTGGGATACCATGACATTCTGATGATGCTATAGCAGGGATAACATGACATTCTGATGATGCTGTAGCTGGGATACCATGACATTCTGATGATGCTATAGCTGGGATACCATGACATTCTGATGATGCTATAGCAGGGATAACATGATATTCTGATGATGCTGTAGCTGGGATACCATGACATTCTGATGATGCTGTAGCATGGATACCATGACATTCTGTAGATGCTGTAGCTGGGATACCATGACATTCTGATGATGCTGTAGCTGGGATACCATGACATTCTGACGATGCTGTAGCTGGGATACCATGACATTCTGATGAGGCTGTAGCTGGGATACCATTACATTCTGATGATGCTGTAGCTGGGATACCATGACATTCTGACGATGCTGTAGCTGGGATACCATGACATTCTGATGATGCTGTAGCATGGATACCATGACATTCTGACGATGCTGTAGCTGGGATACCATGACATTCTGATGATGCTGTAGCTGGGATACCATGACATTCTGATGATGCTATAGCAGGGATAACATGACATTCTGATGATGCTGTAGCTGGGATACCATGACATTCTGATGATGCTATAGCTGAGATACCATGACATTCTGATGATGCTATAGCAGGGATAACATGATATTCTGATGATGCTGTAGCTGGGATACCATGACATTCTGATGATGCTGTAGCATGGATACCATGACATTCTGTAGATGCTGTAGCTGGGATACCATGACATTCTGATGATGCTGTAGCTGGGATACCATGACATTCTGACGATGCTGTAGCTGGGATACCATGACATTCTGATGAGGCTGTAGCTGGGATACCATTACATTCTGATGATGCTGTAGCTGGGATACCATGACATTCTGACGATGCTGTAGCTGGGATACCATGACATTCTGATGATGCTGTAGCATGGATACCATGACATTCTGACGATGCTGTAGCTGGGATACCATGACATTCTGATGATGCTGTAGCTGGGATACCATGACATTCTGATGATGCTATAGCAGGGATAACATGACATTCTGATGATGCTGTAGCTGGGATACCATGACATTCTGATGATGCTATAGCTGGGATACCATGACATTCTGATGATGCTATAGCAGGGATAACATGATATTCTGATGATGCTGTAGCTGGGATACCATGACATTCTGATGATGCTGTAGCATGGATACCATGACATTCTGATGATGCTGTAGCTGGGATACCATGACATTCTGATGATGCTGTAGCTGGGATACCATGACATTCTGATGATGCTATAGCAGGGAAAACATGACATTCTGATGATGCTGTAGCTGGGATACCATGACATTCTGATGATGCTATAGTAGGGATAACATGATATTCAGATGATGCTGTAGCTGGGATACCATGACATTCTGATGATGCTGTAGCTGGGATACCATGACATTCTGATGATGCTATAGCTGGGATACCATGACATTCTGATGATGCTATAGCAGGGATACCATTACATTCTAATGATACATTGCAGGGATACCATGACATTCTGATGATGCTATAGCAGGGATACCATGACATTCTGATGATGCTGTAGCTGGGATACCATGACATTCTGATGATGCTGTAGCTGGGATACCATGACATTCTGATGATGCTATAGCAGGGATAACATGATATTCTGATGATGCGCTAGCTGTTATACCATGACATGATACCACAATATTCTTATTATGTGGCATCATGATGCTGTAGCATGGATACTATATTGTGGGTACCATTTTGCTGTGACCACATTGTTAATGCAAAACACCAAATCACAGAAGCCTGCTTTAGAGAATATAGGAGGAAATCATCTCCAGCTTAGACTCTTACTAAATCTTACAGTTATTTGTCTGAAAAACATATTTCTTTAAGTTCCTTGTTTGAATTTTACACCTGTCACTCGTTTTCAGTAATAAAAAGGAATATAAAAGGGGAGATTCATTTTTTTTTTCTCTGCAATCTATTGCTAACAAATTTTCTTCTGACATAGTTCATGAAAAGCACATGTTTGGCTACAATGTATTATGACTGGTTTAACCTCGAGAAGAGCACAGTCAGAGTTTAATTTGCAATGTCTTGCTGTGGTTAACAGTTACTCTTAGGCCATTTGTGGCCCTAGCCATGGCAATGAAGAAGGTCAGTAAGGTGAACAAGTGTATCCCATAGAGACTGCTAGTAACTCAGCAGCAGACATCACTCAGTCCGGCCTCTCTGAGCTTTTATTGTTCACAGATGGTGACAGTTCAGCCCTGTCAGCTTCTTATACACATTCTGAGTGTCCCATCCGCATTCTTAGCATTTCATTACAGAGCTGGCCTCGCCTTTCTAGATCTCCCAGTAATAACATGACAAGCCAATCCAGTCTCACCCAGTCCAGAGTACATTACCCCACTTGAAGAGAAAAACCCGCTGCTATGTAAATATTTTAACAAACAGCAGAACCTGAAAACGTATCTGGTCTCAACCGGTTGCTGCTTAGAAGACATCACACTGTGCCTTGTTACAAAATATTCCTAATATATTCCTTTATCCCTGCTGCAGTGTTCACAGTGGCATAAACTAGAATATTTTAACGAAATTAGAAACCAGATGCCAAAATGACAGAATTATCCTACTGATTTTTTCTTTTGCTCTTTCTCAATTAAAAATGGCATTGTTTATACGCATAGAATCAATGGTGAGTGATCTGAAAAATAACAGTGGGCCATTGTACTCTATAAAATGTCACAAGTTGGCATATAATCGTGTATGGGTTCAATGAGTGCTTTAAGGATTTGGAAACCAATCAGTGGCAGCTATAGTCCTATCGGAGTGTGAGGGTGTATCTAATGCATGTGTAGCTAACCAATTTGTTTTAGGTTTATTTTATAAATCGTTCATTGTGGCGATTTGAAAACAGCTAAAATTTTGGCCATAGTGGATATGGATAATATTGCCATCTTCACTTAAATTTGTTAATTCAGGCTCAATTTAGCAATTTGATTTACAGTTCACTACAATTCTCTGTTTCATTGATACAATTTTCCCCTAAGTTTTAGAAGTGCTTTTGGGGATTTGTTTGCTTAGCAGAGAAATGTGATGAATTGTCAACAAATTTTAAAAAGTTACGCTGTATAATTGTAAAGAAATTCTCCCGAATTAATGTTTTGGATGACAAATGAATTTAATTAAAATGTATGATTTTGTATAACAAAAGACAGTCATAAATTCAGTGACATGCAAATGTGATTATTTATTATTGCTGTTTATTCACTGTAACATATTGTTTTTGCAAGACCACCATTCTTGTCATTGCATTGTTTATCGATTGTAATGTTACCTTGTAAGGTTAAAATCTCCCCCACAAAAGAATTCTTGTGATTTTGGTCACTATTAATGTTAAACACTCCTTTATCAATGTATAGATCACGGAACCGAAATTCCTGAGGTCGGTAGAATGTAATCGTTAGCAATGTCATGGTAGTGAACTTGCCTGAGGGAACATACTACATCTGGTGACTGCCACCTTCAGTATCCTTGACAAATTCCTGACTGTTTGTGCTACATCTGTAACTCATTTAAAAAAAAAAAAAAAAGTATATATATTTCCCAAATATATACATATTATGTCCCATGACACATACATATAACACACATTTTATGGAACAATATCTATTTAACAACTTTTTTTCCTAAATGACAAAGACTTAAATGCAATACATTTTACAAACCACAATGGCGATTGCAACATAATGGAATTCTTGCTATTAAAAAAGTCATGTCTAAATATTTAACAAGGCCCACCTTTTTCAATACGAAAATTATGTACAATCATGATGGAATAAATATCTGTCCATGCTTTTTTTTGTTCAATATTTGCACATAATAAACGTCACATGACCTGTCAAAAAAGAATAAGGAACACAAAACAGTATCTCAATTTTTTTACAGAACAGAGATGCACGATAAACTAAAATGGATCGTATCAAGTTAGCTAAACCTGCTATTATAAATTATAAACTGATAAATGGTCTAAAACTACCTCAAAGTGGTATATGTTTGGGAGATAACCAAGTGATCTCTAGACATTGAAAATAACCTCCCCAAAATAGCTTAGCCCTTAAAATAATATCACTGAAGGGGAAAACTAATATGTTTTCCTGGCACTGGAGAATCCCTTTAAGTATCAAGCTCTTACACCTAGGGAGTCCTATGAATGTATTTTTTTATATAAGGAATAATTGCATGTGTGTGTGTATATATTTATATTAATATAATATATATGTATGTGTATATACATACATACACACATGCAATTATTACTTATATTCATTTATTTACTTTATTTATTAAATATTTTACCAGGAAGGATACATTGAGATTTCTCTCGTTTTCAAGTATGTCCTGGGTGTATACACACACATACACATAAAATAAGAACATTACTTACTAGAACGGCTTCAACTGGGTCTATGATTAGATAACATGTAACAGAAAGCACGCATGATGTCAAACTAATTTGCTGCATGGTACATTATGTTTATTGATGTTTACATGTTTGGTCATATTGTTCCAATTACTCTGCTCTCTGTTTACATTCTCTTGGAGTTGCTTAATTTTTTCTCTTCATTGTTGCAATGTCTATTTTAAACCAGTGTGTCACGGGATAAATAGCACGTAGTATGTAGATTTCCTGAAAATCCATTAATTAAATTGCCTTGCTGCATTTTCTATGTGTTGAATGGAGTAATTCTATACCAAATGCTAAAAAAAATTTGGATTATTTATATGTGTGTGCAATGGGTTTTATCAATTTTATTTCATGTGTTTTTAGTTTAAAGGAACATAATCACTCTCAGCCAGGAACTGCACTTTTACAGATCTCACCCCTCCCAATGTTGGGCAGTAGGAAACTCAAATAATTACATTTTCAACAGGCCACTGTGCCGCCATTTGTTCATCAAGGAAATTTTACTTAAAAAAAAAAAAAAATCTCAAAAATATCATGAATTAGCCACTCTTAATGTATTCACTCAGGTTTATTTACTAAATTGTGAATTGTCAGGAATTCAAAGAGAATTTTTGACTAAACTAGCCGAACTAAGAATACTGCTTCTGGTTTCTCACAAAAATGAAAATTCAAAGTGAATTTCAAATTTAAGGTCAACCTAGCCAAAGTGGAAAAATTCTCTAACTCAGTTATGTTTTCAGTTTGTCTGCTTTGGTTAAAAATACGAAATTCTCGTTGAATTCTCACTTTAGCGAATGGCCCTCTGTGAAAGTGAAAAAATCTTTCAAGTCGAATTCTTTGGCCTACAATTTTAAATTTACTTTGCGGTCACTTTGAATTCTGTACAATTCACACCTTGTGAATAGGACTCCTTGCTTTCATACCAGTTATAACTGGACCTTCACCATGACATGCAAAACAATAAACTATGATGACATGGAACACGTTTTAATCTCAAGCATATGTGGTTTACATAGAACCAACAAAGACCATCTCTTTAAAAATTATTGTATTTTGTTTTCATAGATGAAAGGGTCCATCAGCTGTTTTCTTTCAGTACCACAGATCATATCCCATGAGCCCAGTGACTCTCCTGTAGAAAGTATGGCAACGGATGTAGGGTAGCAGTGTCATAAGGCCCAAAATTGGTCAAGTACACAGCTAGAGGTGCCTCAGTTTTAAGATTTGATAATTTATTGGATTTTTGGTATTTTTATCCACAGTTTTTTTTGTTTGTTTTTTTCATACATAATTTAATTTTCTTCATTTTTTTTTTTTTTTAGAATACGTTGTTTATGTACTTTACTGTTATACTTATGGCTGGCTTGTTTGTTGCCCAGAGAGAATTTAAGTAAGGAGGTAAACACAACAGTACACGATGTTCATTAAACGTTCATTAAATGTTTAAAAAAAAAAAAAACATATTCAACAATAACCACTAAAGGAACTTTAAGAACCGTTAACACCACACATGTCTTTTGTGTTTTACAGATAGAAGGAACATGCCGTGCCTTGTGTGTGAATATGTTCCACACTTCACACTGTGTTATCTGTCCAACATGCTTTGTCATTGTTAAAAAATGTGGAACTACTTATTGCAGAGAGGATATCTGGCTTGAAATATAGTGATTCCTTCCACATTACATGTCCTGAGATTGAATGTGATATTACACAATGAAAAAAAGTGTTCTTTAACAATAGAATTTCACATTATTCCATAACCACAACATTCTCCTTTTGGGTTTGCCTCCAAACATCCATCAGAGTGGAAAAATACTAACCCAGGTATAGCAGACGAATCCAGGGAGATTGAGATAAATTATGATTCTGCAATTCCTCGTAAGTTGTGAGAACAGAATGACTGGTGACTAAGGATGATGTGAGTTGAAGATCAGTAACAGCAAAGGATCCAAAGGTCCCCGTCAGTTCTTTACAACAGTGTTCCAAGGAATGCAGAGCTGGTTGGAACAGACTAAAAGAAAGCTTTCATGTATTAAGCCGCATATTTTCCTTAGAGGCCTATAATCAATCATTAAGAAAATGTTAT